GTGCCTTTGCCTGTCTGTACAGAAAAAAGTGCAGGCTGACTGGGGCCATAGGCAGACAGATCACAACCCAACAACTGAGCCTCCTGCTAAAAAACCTGGCCCGACCCCTCCCACTTGGAGCAACTGCAGCCAAGATAAGTGAGTGAGGAGGAAACAGTGGGTTCTTTTCCTAGGGAACTGCCTTTCTGTCTACTTGTGTGTGCAGGAATCAAGAGCAGAGAGAAGGAGAAGCTGAATACAGAGCAAGAACAGTATGTGTGTATTGGGTGGGGGCGTTACAGGGTAGGGGGATCCTTCCTTTCAGCCTTAAATGGAGAAAGGAATCAATATAGTTTAGTTGTAGGAATCTTAACCAATTTCCTATAAAGTTTTCCAAAATGTCTCTCACAAAAGACTAACACTGATGTGCCAGCTCTAAGTCATACTGAAATTCTTCAAATGCCTCTCTTCTATATTACTTCTTCTCATGTCACCATCAACCCTCCCCTTCCAAAATAACCCAGCACCTGGGCAATTTTCTATAAAAAAGAAACTCCTTTGCTCATAGTTCTAACTCAAAATGCAGATGCCTCTTTAAGGTTTCCTTTAAAAAAAAAAAAAGCCCCTGTGGACAAAGACCAAACACTAAAAAAATACCCAATCCCAAAGGTCATCTTTCTCCAAAGTTACTGGCACTTGAACACAAGACGAGAAGGACAACAGTCAGCAGGGGGCTACAGAGCAGTGAGAAAAAAACTATACCCAGGAGGCAGATGGATGGCCAAACGGAACTCAGGGGGGGAGGGTAGGCAGCAGCCAGAACCTCCCATTTCCAGATAAGGAGAGCTGGGCTGCCCTATCCCTGGCTATCAGGAAAGGTCGGGTTACTTCCTCCACCCCTCTTGCGGTGGCCTATACCTCCTTTTCCTCATTTACATACGTTTTGGTCTTTTCTGAACCTGAGGTGGTGAGAGAACTGCCTGCAGGTTAAAGATACACAATGTAGAATCCCACCAAAGCTTTCAGGCTGCTCCCTGGGCCTGGAGGTCACAACCACCACCATTCCAAGCACATCCACACCAAAATGAGCAACATGAACCTCTGCTAACAGGATAAAGGAGCCATGATTCTCCCAAACCAGACAAAAACCTACTTTCATATCAGGAAATAATTCCTAAAGCAAGAAAGAAATCATATTCCTCAAATTTAGAGTCTATAAAACATTTTAAACCACCTAAATTAAAATTTAAGTGAAAAAAATGTTTTCAAATGGAAAAAGTCTCTTATTCAACCAATACCTATTATGTTAATCTGAATCAAAACATGTAAAACAAAATGAGTGCAAAAACCAGAAAGTGAAAGCCTATTACTGGCAAACAGACCACTCCAGTTTCACCTAACTGAACAAAGTACAAAAATAAACAGCAAAAATGATGACAAATGGAAAATACCACATTTTACCATGTTTATAACCAATACTGTTACTCACCCAAGAACAACAGGGCTTACACCTGTTAGTTTTTCATAGTGGCATTCCTTTAGGATAGTCCCAGTAAGTTGATTCAGGGACTTCTGAAAATGAGAGACAGATGAGAGAAAAACCCAATGCCAAGCCTTCAGATAGGCCCTGTACCAAAATTTGTTTCAGTCTCCTACCTAACTGAGGGGTATGACACACTCCCACAAGAATCAGAAGTTGTGCTATGCAGAGGCCTTAAGTATTGAAAGCTCCTAGAAGCCAGGCAGGAGGGGAGCTGGATGGTTCTGATTCACAGTCCCAAGCCCATTCCAGGAGGCATGCAGACCTGCCCATAAAGTCTGTGTCAAGTGGACAGCCATCAAGCCATCTGAGAAAGCACTAGGGAAGGCTGATCTAACTAGCACACCATTTTCTATATCTTCTAAAAGTTCATTCTCACCCAAAAATCTCAATCTTTCCTACTTCCATTTAAATTCATTTCTTTTTTTGTCCATATTAAAATAAAGAGCAAATTATTTTCACACTCTTAGGAACAATTACTTCCCACATCATAAATTTATTTAGTCTGAACAAGAAATCAGTCACTAAAACCTTATTCATTTTTTTTTCTTCCTAAGTCTTATTTATGTGTTTCTAATGTTTTTATTTCTCTTATCCTGAGCTTTTCTAACTTCTCCACTGCCCTTGTTGACCAGAAGATGAAAATAGCACAGAAGCTCTAATGAGAACCTGAACTATGATGAACTCAGTGGAAGGATGCTGTCCTATCTGGGACTGACAACTTCTTTAGTCCATCTTCCAAACTTTCTCTGAATCTTTTCACGATCCTGTTACCTGCAAACTTTAGGAAATATATATATATATTTTTTAAAGAGGAAGATGGGGCCTTTAAGTTGCCACTAACAATAAGTTTCTCTTGAGCTGCCCATCCCTTTCCAGGCGTTGGTTTGATGGGTAGTCCAGCGGAGCTGCCTGGCCCCAAACTCACTCTCCTACCTGTTGATCACAGCATTGTAGAGGCTTAATGAAGTAGAGATGCATTACATTTATCACTTGCCCTAGATCCACTCAAATCCATCACTATGTCACAGCAAGAAGTTAGATTGATCTGACAGGATTTGCTCTTCTTCACAAACCCATGTAAGTTATTACTCAGTACCCTCTGCTCTTCTAGCTGTTTGTTGATTGATTATCTGACGATCAGGTCAAGTATCTTCTCTGGAATCACAGTAAACTAACAGGTCTATAATTTCCAAGATCATTCGTATTCCCCTTTTAAAGATAAGCAAGACAGCAAATGCGTCTTCCTGAGTTCTCTAAAGCAGCAGCTAATGCTTTGCTAATAATGAACCAGGGCAGCCAATTCCTTAAGTGCCCTTGGAATCACATCATCAGGGTTCATTGATTCTGTAGATAATCTTTAATCAGGCCCAGATCCTGGTAAACAGCATGAAGCCCTAGCTCAGCCTAAGTCTGAAAGGCCTTGGTGCCTAAGTCTGGGAAGGAAGTTGGTTATACAGATGATTTAAATCTGTACTGCATTATGTCTTCAGCATACAATAAATAAATTTTAAAAAATAAAAATAAAAAAAACAATGTCCTTGAAAGAGAGATGAAAGGTGATACTGACACATCAAACTGAGACATGAATCAGGCTTCACCTTCAACAACATTGGTAGGACCCTCTGTAAAACAAGAGAACAGAGCTACACAATTATCTGAGCTTATAATCTAAATGAAAAGTTCAGAAACAAACATACATTGGTGAGGAGGCAGAAAAAATAGGGACGGCAATAAGGGCGGTGCCAAGCAATCATGAGGTTCAGAAGAGGGATGAATCATATGTAACAGAGATGTGTTGGATTTCAGATTCTATACCAGTAAGGGAAATAATAGGGTATATTAGGATATGGATCCCTGATTCCCAGCCTAAGAGAATCTACATAACCAAAATCCCCACCCACCACCCAGCCACACCCACCACAGAATCTCCAGTTCTGGGAGGCAGAGAAGACCCTACAGCATGGGCTGAGAAAGTAAATGTGGCTCAGGTAGCTTCTAAGCTGTATTCCCTTTCATACAAGGTTCCTTCCCTTAGGACATGCTCCTCAATCTGCTCCTGTCTTCTGAAGCCTTAGTAGGCCTGATTCCAATGCCTCAAAGGCAGACACTGCTTAAGGGAGAATAGAAAAGAGGAGAAATGGGAAGGAAAAAGGATTGTGGTATCTGCTTTATGAAAAACAATCTACTATTCTAAAGAAAGAACACCTTACTGGGAGAGGGAAAAAATCAACCATGAGCAATGAACTGTTTATCTCTAAATGGACCCCACTCCTCCCTGTCTCCCAAGTGCCTGATGCCAGTCTTTTTTTACCCCTTCTCCTTACTATTCCCAATCAATATGTCTAATGCATCCCAGAACTACACACCTGATAACCCAGGCGAACAGGGAAGAGTTAGTCCTAGAGCCAGGCATACCCAAGGTCCCCACACTACAATGAACGCCGCATCAGCTCCCAATCATTCCTCCAAAGCAAACACCAAGCACTCTGAGATCACCTAGCAAAGGTGTCCCCCTGCTGCTAATCCAAGCTTCCTAGTAGCACTACCTTAAAAGGTCTCTGGATACAGTTGGTGACTAGGGAAAAAAAAACAAGCAAAAAAATGTTCCTTTCCAACAGACCACAATGGTATTTGTTCAGTTTATCTAATACTGCATAACAAATCATCCCAAAATTTAGTGGCTTAAAACATCAATAATCATTTATTATCTCTCACAGTTTCTGTAAGCCAGGAATTCAGGAGTGGCTCAGCTGGCCAGTCTAGCTCAGGGTCTCTCCTGAGGTTGAAGTAAGATGTCCACTGGGGCTGGAATTATCTAAGGGCTTGACTGGGGCTGGCAGATTCACTTCCAAGAAAGCACCAAGAAACATGACTAGCAAGTTCATACTGGCTTTTAGCTAAGAGCCTCAGTTGCACTACACATGTGCCTCTCCACAGGGCTGCTTGAGTGTCCTTATAGCATGGTGGCTAGCTTCCTCCTGAACAAGTGATTCAAAAAAGCAAGTGGACTGCTTTCTATGACTTCGCCCCAGAATGTCTCTTCCACTATATTGTATTGGTTATACAGCTCTGATTTAATGTGGGAGGGGAACTACCAAGGGTATGACTATCAAGAGGCAAGGATTGCTGGGGACCATCTTGGAGGGTGACTACCACAGCATTCCTTAAAGAACATGCAGCAGTAGCAGTGGGAGAAGGAAGGCGGGAAGGGAAAGGATGGGACAAAAGGAAATATTTGATTCCCAAAAGCTGAGACCAGAGAGGAACAATGTACCCAGTTCTCTCCAGAGACTTCTCAGGTCTGCCTTACCCTAGCATGTCTGCCTTACCCTAAGTCCTGCTTCCTAGGCAGGAAGTCCAGATAAATAGCTAGAAGCCAGGAAGACATGAGAAAGTTCCTCCGGGTCCCAGGAAGCAAGATTATCCTCCCTCCCTCCTTACCACCCCGCCTTTTCTGAAGCAATGATGCAACAGTTACCTGAGGTTGAATCTGTGGCTTGTCGCACGTGGCCTCAAAGTCCAGCACTAAAAAGTAGTGATACCTCTGGGGAGGGAAGGACACCATTGCCGCCATGGATGCGCCAAAGCCGTGGGCCGCCAGCTTTCTGGTGGATATGGAGCAGAACTCCGGAACACCACAGGGAGCAAATAAGTGGGAGCCCAGCACTTTTCTTGCTCTTGAAAGTAAATATGAAGAAAATCGAGCTGCTCCAGTCTGCAAAGGTGCTAGCATTGAACATCCAGAAGCATCTAAAACTTTAGGGGAGGAAAATTTAAAAAACAAAACAAAACAAAAAACACAAAAAAAACAGAGAGCCTGGGTTACTTCCCTCCCACTGTGGCCCTGTTCCATCTAGTCTTCAGGGATAGTCACACAACATGAACCACTCCCCAGATTGTTTCTGGGCCCCTTTCCTAAATCACCGTATTCATTATTAAAGTTCAAGACCCTAATACTGGCTCCTGCAGCATTATGACAGCTTGGAGTTGTCCAGATCATTCTCAAAACAACATGCAAAACTGGTGTTCATCTTTAAATGGAGCTCTCAAGTTCAAAAGAGGAGAGAAAAATTCTGTGTTCCCTTCTCACGTGGCAACAGTTAATATTAAAGCTAAGCGTCCCAAAGTAACAGGAGGTGACCCAGTTGCACAAGTAGTCCTGGGAGCTAAGTAGACTCAGACAGAAAGCAGAAAACACTCAAAATTCTCTCAATTCCATTCCCAGCCATTTGTCCCTAGCTTTCCTGTCTGTATCTTGACATCTCTCCATACTTTCCTTCCTTCTCCAACGTGAAAGCAAACAGAGCCAATCACAGGGGAACTTGCTCGTGATATTCTGCTGATCTCCAGCCCCCACACCAGTAAGTGGCACTCTGGGAGATGAATAAGGCCTGCAGAGCACAGCTGGCAACAGCCTTAGGCCTTCCCATTTGCTGCCTTTAGAATCACTCTCTCCACTAGAGGCCTTGAATGACTGCAGGACTTTTTTAAATAGGGAAGAAAAAGAGAAAACCCAGATGTGGCAGTAATGGGAGCATTGCTAAAAGTCTAGTAAAGTTTCTGAGTGAACATGTGCAAAAAAAAAAAAAAAAAAATCCAAATGACTTTTCAAGTTTTCCCTTTAAATTTGCAGAATGTCTGCTCCTTAGAGGGCTAACTAAATATAAAAATCAAAGCCTAAGTTTTAAATAACTCAAGCTCTCTTTAAAAAAAAGAAAAAAAGGAACAAAGCAGAAATTTGGTGTTTCCCCCCCCTTTTATACTAAATACTCAAATTCCCTCAAAGTCAAAAAAGTTTCACTGCCAATACAGAAATGGCCCTAGTTAATGCCTTTTGGAACCCCATTCTTACAGAGCCAAAAGCTTGGCTCTGAAAGGCTGCAAATGGGCACTTGCTCCCTCATGTAGGGGGAGGGGGAAAGCAGTCTGTGTAGTCACTACTATCTGGGTGGACATGGGACAATACCAAGTATCACTTCTCATCCTGGCTCTCCCGACTCACTGAATGAGCTACAATAACTTGCCTGCACATTTATTAGGATACATGATAGTGTGTGTTCTCAATTTCCCTATCTCTACAGTGAGATTCCATGTGGATTCAGTAGAGCTAAGACCAAAAAGTATTTTACGTTCTTCATGGTTCCTGCATAAGCACAGTGCTTGTTTTCATCATAGCTTCACAGCCTCTCCAAAAATGCAGCCAAAACTCAGCCAGGGGTAGATAATGAACCTTCTCTCAAGTTTCATTAGGGAATTCCTTGGAAAGGCAAATGGGCCAATGTTACTTTGAAAGCTGGAATCTAAAATAACTCTTCACATCACCCAATCCTGAGCAGTACTGAATCCTTGATGAGATGGGAGACACCAGTCTGCTCAAATTATGCATTCTAGTTTAGATCTAAAGTCCCTCAGGGCCTTAGAATACTTCTCTAACCCCACAAAGTCAGGCCATGCATAAGGACTTTTGAAAGACTTAATGTTCTCAAGTGTGTGAATATAGTGTATAAGGTGTATATATAGTCAACCAGACCTCATCTGCCAGATGCTATAGGCAATTAAGTGTTGTGATTAAGGAGGACTTCAGGTTTGAATACTGGCTTTACCAGTAATTTACCATGGCACAATGGGCAAGCTCTGTTCTTCAATTCCTCACCTGTAAAATGACAGTAATAACAGCTCCGACTCCTTAAGTGAGAATGAAATGAGAGGGCACACGTAAAGCACTAAAAGCAATTGTTTGGCACATGAGGGCTCAATAAATATTAGCTTACTATTGGGAGACTCCAAGATGGCTGCAGAATAGGTAGAAGCTACACTCACCTCTTCCTGGCACCAAACTGGATTTACAACTAAATTATAGATCAATAAATATTAGCTTACTATTATTACTACTATCCTATTGGGCTATGCCCACCTGGTCAAACCTGGATCCCCATCCTTTGGGCCTGTAAATCTACTTAATGCATAAGGCACTCTCAGAAAGTAACGTTAATGTCTCCTATATCATCTTGCATGCTCTAGACCTCTCATATAGCATACTATATATATGCTCCATCCCCTTCCATGGACAACATATTGATGGCCAGAGGTCCTCTTGACTGCAGACCATACTTTTCTCACCTGATTTCACCCACATCAAATAGCTTCTCTTGTAGGAAGTCTTGAGAGCAGACATCAGGAGACCAGGCCTCCACATGCCAGCAGTCACTGGGTTTTATATTTCCCTTGCTTCTAAAAACCAAGTTCAAGTCAAGAAACAGAGGGCACCTCTTCCTCTTCCCTTACTGAAAAATTCAATCTAATGGCTTTAGGTAGGTGTTAACAACAGTTGGAGTGGGGGAAACAGAAGGGTCTGAAGGTTAGTATGAGAACCCAAGTAGGTGAAGAGAGCATCCATACAGATGCAGGAAGGCGTGATGTTTTAGTATTCAGAGCCCCTGTGGGGTATGGAGGGCACCCACAGGGAAGTGGTTGGAGGAGTCTGATGTGGGGAGTCATGGGCAGGGTAAAAAGGCACCCAAGAGGGGGAAAGAGCAGTGGCAACAATGGGAGATTACTTACATACAGAGGAATTAATTAAAGAGGGCATATATTAAGGGTAATGGAAACCCTTCTATTAAAGGATAGAATTAAAATATGGAAAAAGGGGAAAAAATAAATTTCTGATATATAATATATAAAAATAAAGCTAGATGCAAATGTATGAATACACACACAAGTACATACACAAATATATAAACTCACACATATATATTTTCTAGCTCTGTCTACTGAAGGGCCTGGGAGGAACAACACTCCAATAGCAGTGAGCACACACCCAGTTGCTTTCTAAATAATATTCTCCAGAGCTCTTTGGAGAAATGGCTAATTCCAGGGTTATGGCAAGGAAAGGGACAAGATGAACCTGGAACATCCTGTGTCAGCAAGGAAATTCTCAATGATAGGAACATATCAAAAGGATGCAGAAGTCAGCTTCAAGGGAATCCCACTGGCAAAATAATATTAATAGATTATAATGCACTGAATAAAAGGGAAACCCATGAATCCATACAGATATATATAAATAAATAAATTTAAGTTTGATAAGGGATATTCATATAGCTTGAAAGTATCTCCCCACAGAATGCTTATTATTACAGGGAGTAAGTTTACAATGGGAAACCTGGCAGAATCACCTTAATCCACTGAACAAAATGAACATCATGAATAATGAGATAAATCAAAGTCATGCACCACATGATAGAATGCAATGAGAAGAACAAAGCATCATTTCTGTGATATTCCTGTCAAAGATGCACTACCTAAATATAATCATTAGAAAATATTGGACAAACACTAATTGAGGGACAGCCTATAATGTTCAAAAGTATCAAGGTCGTGAAGGTCAAGGTATAGTTACTTAGATAAGTCTAAAGGAGATTAAAGAGACTTGATAACTAAAAGCACAATTCTGAATTGGGTCATTTTGCTACAAAGAACATTACTGGGACAAGTGGAAAAATTTGAATGGTGTTTGAGGATTAGATAGAGGTAACGTTATCAATGTTAATTTCCTGGTTTTCATGGTTGCATTTTGGTTAGGTAGGAAAATGTTCTTGCATGTAGGAAATACATGCAAAGTATTCAGGGTGATGGCACATTAGGTGGGCAACGTAACTCTCAAATGGTTCAAAAAATGTTTTCTTTATATTAAATTTCCAACTTTTATGTAAATTTTGTCTATTTCAAACTTTTAAAAAAATTACCTTTTAATCCATATGCAATGTGGTTTAAAAAAAGAAACCGAGAACAGACAGTGTGTAAGGTAGCAATCTCCCCGCACTGTCCGCAAAAGGTAGGCTGCATGCTCTCCTCTGGCAGGGAACTGGCTAGTCTCCATCATAAGAGCCCCCAATTGGTGCCCCTTCACTGGGCACTCCTGCCAAGATTACAGCTTCCTTGGGAAACACCCCCACCCTCAGTGCAGCGGAGCTTCACCTGCCCTTGCTTCCTCTGGCATCTAGGAGTCTCTCTTTTCTACTGATGTCTTTACACTTCAGTCACAAGTTTGCAGAATATGAGTCTAGAACTTATATTATCAACTGGGACTTGGGTATCTAGTTGAGGGGAAGAACACAAAAGGAACAGTTTATGATTCTGTGTATTTTTGCTCACGATCTTTCATCAGAGTCCAAGATTTATACACATTTATTCTCAGATACTCTTTTCTTTCTCCTAGTAAATTAATGGTAGTAAGAAGCCTATGGCAAGGAGGAAAATGAACAATTCTTTTCTCAAAATGAAGGGATCAGCCCTCTGGGGCAGGGGAGGGGTAAAGAGGACTGCCACAGGGCCAGTCAGATTTGGAGAAACAGGCCTGCGCCACAGCCCCTGGAGGATGGTCTCTGTGCAGAGTGTTTACACAACAGACACCAATGGCTCCTCTGCAGCCATTACTGTCGGTCAGGTAAATAACGCATGTGCCAAAACACACATTTAATGAGGGAAATAATATGCCTTTATAAAAAGCCTCAATCTGTATTTACCTGAGAGACCAGAGAAGCACCAAATCACCAGATTAGTGGAACCACAGAGGAGTCATTCTGGTGTCTTGGGTAAATAGACATTTTATAGCCTTCCATTACTGGAGGGGGGAAGGGAGGGTAAAGGGAGGGGGGCCATCCTTTAACATCCACATCCACAGGCCAGGGGAGCCTGGGGGATGGAAAAGAAGAAAAGCCCATCGTGAAATACGGCATCTACTCCCACCCTATCTC